CATAAACAGAGCTCTTTAAAAGTTCTAGACCCAAGCAGCAGACATTTTGCTCTCCACTTATCAAATCTTGGTCAAATATACTTAGCTTTATCTGGTATGCATATGCCTTTCACTATTGGCAACTCTAGTAGACAGGCATAATGAAAACCAGATCCTCTTCTTTAACCGCTTTTGCTAGTAAAACACAAGCATTTCTAGCTTCCATTTCACTGGCACGAAAGCTAACCAACGACAGAGAGGCCCTTATCACACTGGCTGGCTGGACAACCAGAAACTTTCCAAAACCACGGTTTTATCTTGGCCGTCCGTGCTTTATTTATCTTTTAGCTGACTCCAAAGCCTACTATGCATTATGCGTACTGGCGGGTAGACCACCAGCTTCAACTAGTTTTGTTACAAGCTTACTTCTGCTTTACGTTATCACTTTGCTTAGGGTGCTAGAACAGCACTTGCCAGGAAAACCACAAACGAAATTGCCGGTGCGACAGTAAAGTACTAGTTAGCATTGCCACCCGGAAGAACACCACTGGCGCTTGTTTCGGAACTTAAAATTGGAGAAAAAGCGCTCGAAAATAATCAAAGAGCTGCACAATAGTGTCTATCAACACATGAGGCATAACCATCCCTCAAGTTCGAGCAAGCTCACCCCCCAGAAATAGAATTGGTAATGCCCCACCAACGCAGAACAAACTGCATTTCACGCTCCAAAGCAATTTGTTAACTTGTACTCAAGTTTTCCATACTCATTACTTAAGTACTAGTAACAGACTCCTCTAGCGCACTGCGGTTGGAGATATAGCTTCATGAATATAGCAAATCGGCTCTAAGAGATAAAACGCGATGTTTAGCTAAGCAATGTGTGTATTTTCCAGGCCAAAAGGTGTCAACTGCTCCGGAAGGTCTCCTGTGTTATTCAGCTAAACCTGGCTCATGCGGCCTTGATATAAACTTCAGGACCACTTAGAGGCTTAAAAAGCTAAACTATATATTCCCAATGGTTCATGTGGCTCAGTATCCACTGAAAATGGTATGCTGAGTCCCTCTAACCGTGGGGTAATTATAAGTTCTCTTGCATTCCCATGCAGACATTACATTCCTTACTGGATTTCTAGAGTTTTCGCGCAAATTATGGCTTATTTGCGTGCATTTGCCATGTATGCCTGCAAAAAGTACTTTTCGGCCACCTACGAAGTCTCTAGTTGTTGCAGGGTATTACGCGCTATTTAGAGCATTTTTAGCTAGCTATGCCTATTTAGAACGTATACCGCTTCGCTACCTATTACATTTTCTTTTCACTTTTCTGCTATATACTTGCAAAGCAGAAAGACATACTTAGCGAAACAGAATAATGGCTTTATTCGTTAACTATCATTCAATTGCGAATAATTCACAATCTACTGCACATATTGTAGTTCTTTTACATCCAACGTAATCAGCGGTTAAAACTTGCCCTGAGCAGCCTATGTTTGCTACTGTACGCAGTATTCTAGCCTCAGAAAAGGTTTTCTTCTGAGATAACCTTAGGTTGAAATTTCACGCCAGAAAGCAATGCCAACGCAAGAAAAATCTGGCTATACTTTTTCGTTGATATTTATTACTATGTCTCTTAACAAATCCTTTTTATTTTCAGCTACATTCTTATCCCTTATAATTCCGCCACTCTCATTTCTCCCATGTGCGCACCAATACTCTTGACGACTGAGCGGGCCAAAATGTCCAATGAATTTGAAATGATGTTGTGGCGAATTGGATCATGTTCCAAAGAATAACGGCACAACTGCAGCTCTGCGCAACGTTTACAACAAAAAACTAGGCGTTCAATATCGCCCGAAGGAACCAGAAAAATTTCAAGGTGGCCGCCTGCGAACCCATCACCTGTACACCGAACAATGCCAATGCATTTGTAATTGCCAACTATGAACATATACTCGTATTTTGACTACTTTAATGCAAGAGCATAGAAGTAACGAAAAGCTTGAACTGAACCCTTAAGAGTGCAGCCTCTAGCTAGTCTAGTAATACACCTATTTATTTATTTTTATATAAATAATAAATAAATAAATAGTTACTCTCGACTATGCGAGACACGCCCATGGAAGAACCTAGAGTCCGTGGCAGGAAATGAACCAAGAGCAATGCGGGTGCGACGATGTATGTTGGAGCGCTGACATTGAAGGCAGGCGCGAGGCCAGGAACGAACACCTTTGTTTACGCGTGACCAAACGAAACGCTCGGTGGCCACGTTCAAAGATGCACGGACACCAGGTTGTGGTAGTGAGTGCAGTGCGTCAAAGACCGTGCGTCTGAAGGAGACGGGCACGAGGGATCTATGACAAAATGTGAAAGTGTCACAGATAATGGTTCCTTCCTTGGTTTGGAGAGGAACAGGTTGCACATGCCGCGAAGTGGACTGCAGAGTGCGGTGTATATCATCGTCTTGAGCCTGAGCAGATTCCATGGCGGCAATGTTGACGGTAGGCAGAGACCGGAGAGTGGTGGTTGATGAGTGAAAGAGCGTCAGCGACGGGATTATCGGCACCTGAGACATGGCGTATGTTAGCACTGAACTGCGTG